ACTCCCTCAATCCTGATATGTTATGGCTTATATTTTACTTTTGGCTTCATGCAGGTTTTTTGTTTGTTATTTATTGTTTTTTTTAGAGGTGGGGGTCTCGTTATATTGCCCAGGTTGGACTTGAATTTTTGAGCTCAAATGATCCTTCTGCCTCAGCCTCCCAAGTAGCTGGGAATACAGGCCACTACACATAGACATTTTAAAATTATTTCTTAAAATTTTATTGAGAATATTCACACTAAAAAAAAACCCTTGGTTCATGTGACATAGTCTTGCTCTTCTTAGTCTATTTTTGAGGTGTTTTGTTCTTTCAAAGACAGGGTAGCCTTGTGGTTAAGAGCCAGGGCTCTCAAATTGAACTCTGGATTTTAAAATCCTGGCTCCATCTTTGACCGACCATGCAACTTTGGCCAGCTTACCAGATATCTCCAAGACCCAGCTTTCTCATGTGTCAGATGGGAACGACAATGGTTTCTACCTCATAGGGTGGTTGCAAGAATTAAATGAGAAGATCTATGAAAAGCATCAGTTGTAGGGTCTGGCACAGGTTACATGTTTGCCTCTATTATTTATCTCCAAGGGCCATGCTAGAGTTGCTTATTTACATTCTTATTTATTATCTTGATTTCCTCCAATCCTTGTTGGAAGAAGGTAGGTTATAAATAATACATAATTGTGATTTGTTATTCTTTATTTCCAAAGAATTAGTCATTGTTGATTTATGGTATCATGATTTATAATGACTCACACACAGAATGCAGGTGGATACTAAATTTCTCCTGCAGTGAAATTTCCTTTAGCAGAACATGGCAGTCAAATGATTTTTCTCTGCTGATAATAATATCAATTCTCGTATCTCAGTATTTATTCTTTAAGAAAAGGAAGGCAGTATCTTCCTTTGAAAACATATTAAAGCACTATAGATTTTTTATTATTATATGTTGAATATAATAAAGCCATAAAATGTGCATAAGGACAGCATTAAATGTCATGACCTAGAATCTGGAGGTGCCATGAAGTTCATTAGGTGAATGTCATGTCTGGTAGTGAGGCACCGTTGATGGAAGTATCTCTTTGGAGACTCATATATTTCCCTACTATAAAGTAAAGGACATTATGGAGGAGCAAGGGAAGTTGGGAGAGAATTAAACCTTTCTAGTTCTTTGGATGTGCTATATTTTGTCTTAAAAGATCGTATTTGTTTAGTCTTATAAAACATCAAGGAATACCAAATATTGACTAGAAGCTGAAGATGTAAAGGTTAATAGTCATGGGCCTGTATTCAAGTTGCTTACAATGTAAAAGGAAAGAAACATACAAACCCCATGATTAGGAAAAAAGTGTAAATGATGTAATGGAGGTATGCACATCTTGTAATACGAAAATATTTAAGTTTACAAAAATTAGTTTTGCCATCCGATTAGAGTTACAATAGAGCAGACAAAGGGCTAGGCATAGTGGCTCACATTTGTAATCCCAGCACTTTGGGAAGCCAAGGTGGGAGGATCACTGGAGGCCAGGAGTTCAAGACCAGCCTGGGCAACATAGTGAGACCCCCTCTCTATAAAAAAAATTTTTTTTTAATTAGCCAGGTGTGGTGGCATGTAGTAGTCCCATTAGTAGTCCCAGCTACTCCAAGGGGCTGAGCTAGGATGATTGCTTGAGCCCAGGAGTTGAAGTTTACAGTGAGGTATGATCATGCCACTTCACTACTTCACTTCAGCCTGGGCGAGAGAGCAAGACCTTGTCTCTAAAGTAAGTAAGTAAGTAAATAAATAAATAAATAAATAAAATAATTAAAAATTTTTAAAATAAAAAAGAATGGACTTAGAACAGAATGTCAAAAATATATTTCTATGTGGTATACAAAAGTTCACATGAGATAGTTTCGAGAATTTTAGACAGCACCAGAATGAATTATCATTGACTTATTCAGTTTCCCTCCTGGCCTGGAAGGCATATATTCTGGTATCCTGCAAACTTGTTAGAGTGTGGGTAATAATTAATAATTATTAATATAATCCGAAGATTCTGAAATGTGTTGTTCTAGGTCTTTTTTTTCCTTTGCTTGCCCCAAACCATTTGCTGATTAAATAGTGGTTGTAATACCAAATCTGAAGAGTAATTGGCTGAGTTTGTACAACAACAGCATGTCACTAAATGAATAAAAAGAGTTCCTAAAAAATTGGCCACAGAGGATTTCCTTTTTTCCCTTTTTCCTTTTAAAAGAAGTCTGTTAAAAAAAATGCACATGACTTATTTCTCCATAGTACCCGTCTTCAGTCTATTTTTATCTCCTTCTTAAGGAATGCTTAAGCTGAGAGACATGTCATTGGTTTCCTGCATATTGATACTCTTTCTGAAATGGGATATGATACAGTATAATACTTGCATAATCAGGATTCTGTCTAGACTAGTGAAATTAAAATAGTGACAGAGCAAAAGGGATCTTTCTGAAATAGAATTCTTTAGGAAATACTTTTTTACCAGAATATTGATGAAACATGCAGATATGGAATAGTATTTTATAATAGTATTAAAGTTAAGGTTTTGCTATTGAAAAAGCCCCATTGACTTTTGTGTATTAATGTTATTGGTATTTGTTGTTTTAGACCGACCTGCCAAAAGATAATGTGATGTTTGCTTCAAATGTTTCAATAGAGATAATGAGGAGCTTCAAACATATGTGTATCTCAAAAAATATAAACCAGAGAGAGCCATAGTGTTCATGATACAGGAGAGGGGAAAATGCTCACATTGCTTGTGTTTTGTGCTAAAATATAACCAATAATTATTATATGTTAGTAGGTGATTGATTACTAAGAAGCAAACTAAATACCACTCTTAAACCTTACCAGTTTTAACTAAAACCAAGTTCTCACATCTTACATCTTTTTGGAGTTTTGCATTTCTTTAGTAAGATAATTTATTTCTCAAGTCATTTTGATTCTCAAGCATGTTTCATTGAAAAAACTACATCAGAACAATTTCAAACCAAGGACCACTTTGAAAGCCTCTAAATCAAGATTCCTACTTCTTTCCTTTCTGTTAGCACGGGAAGGGTATGGAGAACATTACCTTGAACTCTTGGGACCAGGCTTGACTTTGCCATGTGGGTGACCCAGGCAGGCGATGACTTCTTTATTTCAATGTTCTGGAAACAATTGCTTTGTATTTCTATAGAGCAGGGGAGGGGTAAACCTTATAGCTAGGTTTTTGAATTAATACATTGGATAGAATCACTACTCAGCCACACACTAGCTCTGTGACCTTGGGCAAAACTATTTACTATTTCTCTGTTTTCCCATCTATAAAATGTGTGCCGTAGTAGTACCTACTTCCTAAGGGCATGGTAAGGATTAAACGAATTGATTCATGTAAAGGCTTTTGTAGAGCACCTATCAAATGATGAATTCTCAAAAAAAAATATTACCTAATAATATGATTATTTATAGTGTAAGTCCTTTATCCCAAGATGAATTTTTACACTTTTTCTTTTTTTTCATATCATGAATTTGAAATAATTGTAAATTTTCTTTTCCTGTGATGAGAGCTTACAGACCTTTTCCTTGAATTCTAGTAAATGACAGTTGAATAAGATTAATTTATCTCTGCATCTTCAGTTGTGGCTGTCATCCCCAGCCTCCAATTCAGAATAGTATCACATGGGAACTTTAGCTTCAGCTGAGGATCCTTGCAGCAATTTATATTCTCTTCATTCATGCCTTACCAGCCATCTGCTCTCTGGAAAAAAACGTAGGTAATAAGAGTAGAAATGGCCCCATAAAAATGTGTATTGGTTGCTCTTTCTCATGAGAGATCAGAAAAGGGCATAATATAAGAAAAAGATGAGGTAAACCAGGAAGTTGAATCTGTTAAACATATCTATCTAGATTTAGATCACAAAAGAGAATAAAAATATTCCAAAACAGCAATCAATTCAAATCCATATGCTTCCTTAGAGATCTGTTTATGGTTCTAATTTCTCCCCTTATATGTATTGGATGACAGAGCCATTATTTAAGGCAAGGATCTAGTGATAAATCACACAGAGACTTGGTAGGTTCTGAGCCTTTTACTAATGTCTGCTTTCCTGCTTGGTCCCTGGGCTGAAGCTATGCTGACCAAGGCCATATCACGTGATGATTTCACATTCTGTAGATGGTGGTTGTGTGTTTTCTGCCTGAGATAGCCAGCCAGTTGATTCTATCATAGGCAACAGGATATCAAAATTCATTTAGAATTTGAAACTCATGGTAGCTGGTAGATTAATTTTCTTGGGCCAATATTCATTTCATTTATTTTTTGAACATAAATAGTGTCACACATTACCATGGATCTCAATGGTGTCTGTAAGTATGTATTGCCTTGAATTAGTGGGTGAGCAATAGCATCATTTGTGTTTGCATTAAATCTGGATGACACCGTATTTTCAAATGCAAATCTGGTGGGGAGTTAGGGATCTTCAGTTCCTTTGGAGACCAAAGAAAATTCAAGTTTCATTTCTTGGAACCTCTATTTGTGTTTTGGATTATAGACTTGTAAGAATATAAAATATGAAGCCTTCTAATAGATAACACTTAGAATAATGTCCATAATGTTAAATAATATGACATAAAACATGAAAAAAAATCTACTTAGATACAAACACAGGAAGCATGTTAGGCTGTATTTTCTCATTTAGTGCATTTGTTTCTACTTTTTGAATTAATAACAGTGATATTGTAGAAACCTATATGGAACCTGATATGGAAACCTATTCTTTCAAAAGTTAATTTTTGTTTGCATATATATTTGTTTTCTGCTTTTACAGTTGCTGCTTTGCCAGTTTTATGTTTGTTGTCATTGGAACTCTCCTAATTAATACATGCAATTTTGATGTTAAATGAATGACCTAATAAATGTTGAGCTTACCTGTTAGGATGAAGAGTAGTAAGAAAAGTAATAAAACTCTGAATATTAAGTAATTTTCAAATTGATAAACGTTTTTTCTCTTGTAGCGAGAGATTTTTCTTGAGACTGAATAGAAACGGGCTTCCTAAAGCCCCAGATAAACCAGAACGTCATTGTTCTCTCTTTGTGGTAAGTAGATCTTGTTTTATCTGTGAGGCAGATTCATCTCATTATGGTTCATATTATTTAGGAGAAACAAATTATTGTGAGAGAATATAGTGAATTTACTTAAACTTCATATACATAACAAAAAATTACATTAGTGCCCAGAATTCTGAATACCACCATACATGGTTAGTTTAATTCCTTTACAGCAGTGGTCCCCAACCTTTTTGGCACCAGGGACCGGTTTCATGGAAGACAACTTTTCCTCAGATGGTGGTGGAGAGGAGGAGCTCAGGCGGTGATATGAGGGTTGGGTACCAGAGAAGCCCCTACCACTCACCTCCTGCTGCTCCCCTTTCCTCACTTCCTAAGTTTCATGGAAGACAGTTTTTCCACAGATGGGGCAGGGATTGGTGGTGGGGAGGCAGTGTGTGGAGCTCTGCAACTGGGTCCCTAACAGGCCACGGACTGGTACTGGGGGGTTGGGGACCACAGCTTTAAAATATTATTAATCCTGTTACACTATTACCAAAATACAATAGTATTAAGGTTCAGCATGGTACCACTGTTTAGTGTGTGACATATGCTTAATAAATGTTTAAGGAATGAGTAAGAAATTGAATCGACACTGGTATTTTTTTTTAAAGTATTTCTTGACATAAATGGACCTAAAGTTGATTTTAGTGGTATCTTTACAAAAGGATTTGAATCATTGGCTTCTGCTACAAACATTTCATTAAGAATGTCTATCTTCGTCTCCATCTTTCTTCTTTTATTTGTGAAAATAATGTTATATGCCTTTTGAGTGCTGCTTATGAATGCTAAAATAACCAGACTTTGTTTTTTTGGTAGGATTTGGGTAGCAGCGAGCTAAGAAAGGACATCTACATCACTGTGCACATTATCCGGATCGGTAGGTACAGCGCTTGTCAGCGTGTAGGGCAAGTAACCGGGAGAAGTGGCGAGAGGTCTCTGTGTGGTTTTGGTCTGTTTGCTATCTGGATCACAAAGAAGTCAAAGCCAGATTTAAATCCAAGAATCACAGAAGTTGCAAATTGTTCCCTGCTTTCCCCAACTTCACAGATGACCTACTCACCCACCAGAAATAGATTTTTGTCTCTTGTGATATAAGTCATTGATAAGTTTGTTGTGCTTCATTTCGTTCTATTGGTCTTCCTAAACATACTTGATTCAAAAATTTTTTGTTTGTCTTTTAAAATTCTAATTTCTGTTAGCATAAAGTAAACTTTCAGGAGCTGAGTTTTCTACAGGTTTATGAAAGTTTTATGTCAGTTGGCTTTGTCCAAAGTGCAGAATGCTGTAGACCATTATTACAGAAGGTGCTACAAGGAAAGGGTTATGAAACACTGAATACTGTGTATTTTTTAAAACTTGTATAATGTTATCAGCTTATTAAAGGGTCTGACAAGTCCTACAAGAGAAGATAAATATGCCTCTCTAACTTTGTTGACCTCAGTTTTCCCCAAATTTAATTTGACCATGAAAGCATTTATATAATATAGTATTTATTAACATCTTGCAGAGCACACTTTAATGTTCTGTGAGATGAACTTGCTCAATGGAGCCAGAATATGTTCCCTCATTTTTACACATAAAATGCCTCTAAAAGCAGGCATTTTACAGCACAGGAAATAGGTACAATGAGGAATGATGTAGCTTGTACAATTTTTCCATTAAGGCTAACCAGTTGATATTAGGAATTTGTTTTCACTTCTTCACTACCAATGCTACATTACTTGCACAGGAATACTTCTGCAGGAGAATAATATTTTGGTATGCAATCCTGCAAAGAGATCTTTGTTTTTATAGGCTTTTATTTTATGGACATGATAACTACATCGTGCATTGAGAGAGCCTATAAAACATGCTTTCATTCCAACACAGATTTTCTATTTATTTTTTTTTCTCATAAAAATCTGTTCTGAAGGCCCAATTTCATTTTATGCTATTTTTATATATGAGGGACAGTAGAAATTTAAAAAATAAACTGTGTTTGGTTTTGTTTTAATTTTTCTTTCTATAAATGAGTATATATGAGAAAAAAATTGGAATCCTTTAAAACGTTGGAAAAGTTGGAACCCATGTTACTCTTCCCTTATAAGATAAAGCCTCTATCCATTCTCAGGATGGCAGGGGAGCAGTTTGTAATGTAATTCTCTGTGTGTTTGTATTTTTAATTCAGATTTGTAATATCAGTTGCTAAAGTAAAATGTGGCTTTAGATATCTACATGTAAACATTGCCAAAATTTTAATATAATCTCCTATAGCATGGAGAGAAAAACTAAACCACTTTTGCTTTCAGAACTTTGCAGAGACATCTATGGGTTTGGGGTGGGAGAAAAACATGCAACAGAGTGAGTATGTGCTCGCCTGGCCCGTGGCTTTCACTCACAGCATTATTGCCAGCGAAGCCACCTCAGTAGTATTACCCATCACAGAGTGGCCATTCAGATATATAGCTTTTGAGTCATGATTATATTTTTTATTAAGGCTTTTGTAGTCATTAAGTCATCAGAATAAATGTTGAATCAGAAATTATCTCCCCACCCCTATCCCAGTTTTTGTCAAATGAATACCTCTCTGGAATTACTGCAACAAATACTTGCAAAACACATGTGCTGGTTCAACCTTTTGAGATTAAGGAGAAATGAGATTCAAGTAAGACTCTCTAAGAAAAGTTAAGACTTAGTCTCCCAGCTCCACAGATGCAGTGAGATCAAAGGGATCAAAGAAGATCGTTGTCTATTAGAGATAGATACTTCTCCTACTTTTTATAGACTGTCCCTTGTACCTGTTTTAATAAGAAAAGGGCACACTGACCTTCACTGGCTGCAGAAAGCAAGAACAATAATAGCACCTCGCTTCTGGGAATTTAAGCCCAGATCTTTGGAAAGATAAGGAGGGGAAAAAAAAGAGACATTAATAGTTTTATATCTTCCTTCCCACCCCAGTTATTAAGTTCTTTCAACTTTTGTGCCTCCCTTTTGTCTTTTGGATGGTTGCTCCATATTTTGACCTTCCCACATTCCTCCTACCTTCCTTCCTGGTAAGAGAACATTCCTAGAAATCTGACCAAACTGCGAATTCTTATTAATCCTAGAGTTGGGAACTCCAGGGCTGGCATCATATTGTCTTTTCAGTATTATAATTAGACCAAAGCCATGGTAACCACAGAGCCAGGAAAGAAAACTTAAACTTGCATGTTTGAGGACATGTGGAGGTTTCAGAGTTCAGCTTCCCAGCAGTCAGAGAGAGAGGGACAGAGTCCTCACTGGAGAGTCTTCTCAGGTGGTTGAGAAAACACTTCTCCCATCACCCTTATTTTGCCAATCTCTCCTTCACAATTTTTTTTTTTAGTGCAGTTCTAGCTCAAGGGGATGTCTAAAAAGAAGAAGAAGAAAAAAAACCCTGATATATGTGCCATGCTTTTGTATAAATTGTAGAAACTTAGAGCTAGCAAAGGATTTAGGATTTTGTTCACGGTTTCTAAGTTTCTTTCTTTCTTTCTTTCTTTCTTTCTTTCTTTCTTTCTTTCTTTCTTTCTTTCTTTCTTTCTTCCTTTCTTCCTTTCTTCCTTTCTTCCTTTCTTCCTTTCTTCCTTTCTTCCTTTCTTCCTTTCTTCCTTTCTTTTCTTTTTTTACTAATGAACTTCTTTTCCCATGTTAAATAACTTTGAAGTGTTCCACTCAGAAATCTTCTAATCACTTTGTCTTTGTGGTCTTGCATTTACAAGGAAATGATTAAGAGGAGACAATTATATTTTAACATCATGATATTGATAAGGACTGAAGTATATATTTCATTCTAGTACATTATGTAATAATGTTCAAAATAAAGATAAACTGGGCCTTTTTTTCCATTTAACAAGCGACCAAGGTTTTAAATTTGTTTAAATCAATTCTATAAGTAAAAAGAGGATTGGTTGTTAATTAAATTCTAATATGACATAAAGTGTTCACTTTGTAGGCAGAATATATAGTAAAATTATGTAGATTGAAATTTAGCCACATATATAGCATCAGGTCATGAAAACCTGATATTATGAATTTTTACCATTTTGTACATCTAAAAGCAACTGACTTATTTTGGACATTTAAAAAAAGTGTTGATTCTAACTGATAAAATAAGAGGCTTTCAGGCTGCTATTTATAAGCATTTTTTTGAAAGTGACATATTGCAGAGGTAGTTTTCCTTTATTACTAAGGAGTAAAAGCCAAATTGGATATTGCTATCCCTTTTTTTTCTATTTAACATTGAATTTGGCAACTGCCGGGGACATCTTGATGTGCCATAGGAGACTTTTGCTCAGATGGAAACAGTTTATCGATTTGTTGATAAGCATCTGGAGACAAATTTGCAGATTTTTTTCATTATTTTTCCCCACATTAACTTGTTATATTTCAACTTTGGTGTACTTCGTGCTTTTTGTCTTCAGAATAATCCATTGATAATTAAATACCAATAATAAATAATAAATTTAATAATAAAACAGTATATCAATATCATATTTTAAAATATATGACAATTTAAATAAGTTAAAACTTTATAATACTCAAAACCATCCCGGGCGTTTTCAGTGAACGACCAAGTTATAAACAGCCTGAGCGCTAAGGCAGAAGCATACTCCTTGGGTCACCTGTGCTTTCTTGCTATACTTCAGACAATCTCAAACTTTTTCCTTTTGAAGGTGAACATTTTTAAATGATTTTTTTTTGAACATGGAATTTTTTTAAAACAGAGAAAATGAAATAGGCATCATTACTGCTTTTAATGACATGAGCATCCTGGGATGCCTAGGAGAGCTTTCCAGAGGCAGGGGTTCCTAAACATGGGATCAGTCCTAATCTTTGTGTTCTACAGATGGCAGCTGATGTCCAGAGTTTAAGTTTCTTACCCAAGGTCACACAGTTAGGGAGTTAGAGAGAAGAGTCCATCACTAAAGCAACATCTTCTGCTACCCCCCAACCCATGTCTTCTCCATCATCCAGTTATGTTTCATATGGCCTATCTTGTACCTGTCTGTGTCTCTATTTAAGAAGCCTCTAATCAAATGGCTCCATGGGTTGCGTTTGCTCTTTAACTGGGCAGGTCGAATGGGAGCAGGAGAGAAAAAGAACGCCTGCAGTGTTCAGTACCGGCGACCCTTTGGCTGTGCGGTCCTTAGCATCGCTGACCTGCTAGCAGGAGAGACAAAGGACGACCTCATCTTGAAAGTGTACATGTAAGAACCGTGCATATGGCAGGGGCTGGGGCGGGCACAGGGATGCATGTGAGTCCTACTTGAGTGAATGCTACTTTCCGTGGGTAATAGAAGAGCAGTGGATGGGTTAGGCTTATGAGCCATTCCTTAAAACCCCGGTACTCTGCGGGCTTGCTGTGGGTGAGCCCACACATCATGATCTGCCAGTCCAAGGAATTATGAAATTGAGAACCAATCAATACAGGCAGCTTATCAATTAGATAGACTGGTATGGAGAGTGCCACCTTTGAATTCATAAACCTAGCATGTTTTACCTTCAGAAAGTTAATTTGTTTTTAGAAAGTGAAAATACTTTTTAATATAAATTAATTAGAATTGGGAAAGGGGAAGCTCAGATGATTTCCCTCCAGCTCCATGTGTAAGTTTGCTGGGACTGCCATAACAAAGTACTGAAAACTGTGTGGTTAAACCACAGAAATGTAGTGCTTCACAGTTCTGGGGGCTAGAAGTTCAAGATCAAGGTGTCAGCAGGGTTGGCCCTTTTGAGGGTTGTGACGGATAATCTGCTCCATGCCTGTGACCTAGCTCCTGGTGGCTTGCTAGCAGTCTTGAGTGTTCCACGGATCATAGATACATGACTCTGATCTCTGCCTTTATCTTCACATGGCATTCTGTCTGTGTTCTCGGCTGTCTCAGGGCCCAAATGCCGCCCCCTGACCCCCGAATTTTAGATACAATCATATTAGATTGGGGCTCACCCTAATACCTTACTATAAATTGAATACCTCTTTAAAGACCCTCTGTCCAAATAAAGTCGCATTCTGAGGGTACTGGGTGTTAGAACTTCAACATTACCTTTGTTGGGGGACACAGTTGAATCTAAAATACTCTGCTAAGAAAGTCACTTGATATATTCCAAATCCTAAATTAAATGATTTTTAAAATGTACATGGGTTTGTGTCACCCTACCATCACTACCTCCCCGTAGGTCTGTCATTGAGAACTAACACACAGCAACACACAGCAACAACCTCAGAGCACCGGGGTTTCCACGTTACCAGTTTGAGGACCGTGCTGCTGGCCGCCTCCATAAATAAAGCTTGCTTTACTCCATTCCAGAGGTTGTGTTGATGTATCCAACATATGCCAATAGCGTTTTCATAGGTGGCCATAACAACACTGGCCTTCTCCCTGTGGAACATATACTCAAATTGCTTTTTGACCGCTGCTGCAGGGTTTCATGGATTTATCTACTCTCCACCCAGTGGAACCTATGCAACACATTCAGTAATTAGTTGACAAAGATTTATCTGTGGTCTGTGGTTTAGGACCAGAAACTCTTTTTATCCCTTTTAAGAGGGATGAAGCCTGTGTCCTTGATTTTAAACTTGGAAAGTTCTGGTGAAACTAATGGTAGTAGAACTTGTTACTCTTTTTATCACATGGCAACCCTCGATTTCAATGGTTGGGCCTAAATCCATGATGATGATCTTCTTTCCACACTCTACTCCTGGTTGTCAAACATAATTTATTTGAAGTACTAATGATTGATAATAGCCACCCTTTCGTGTGTGCTTACTGTGTGGAAGGACTTGTGTTAAGCACTTTGTGTCATGTCACTTTATCTTTACAACAAAACCATGAATCAGACACTCTTAGCTCTGTTTTACACATAAGCGAACTGAGAGTTAAATAACTAGCCCAGAGTAACCTAGCTAATAAGAAAGGGAACCAGATTTAAAGTCCAGACTCCAGAACCTGAGCTCTCAGGTTGTGTCTTCCTGGATGTATTATCACAACACTGCCTAGTGATATGATAACTGCGGCTGTTCTGTGGCATTGCTTTTTAAGAAAACTAAAATTCTTCACAATCCCGTCATTTGTTAGAGTAGTCTTTCCAGTTCCAGGTGTGGGTAGCAAGGGCTGCATTTATCCTGCCATTGGGAAAGGGGGGGGACTGATAGTCACATGCGTCACCCTGGATTATGCAGCCAGCTGAACAAGACCCATCAATTCCAGCTCTGCCGATGGGAGACACTCACGCTCATAAAAATAAATTGTTATGCTCTTTGTGGGGTTTTTATTATTTGTTTTTTCTTAAGTATCAAATAAGGTTTTGGGTAATTCTTGTTGGAAGAGAAATTTCTTTAAAATGCCAGGTCAGCAAATTGTGAAGCAGGTTCAAGAGGAACACTAACCAATCAAAACAGTCACTGTAGATTAGGAAGGAACTGTGGATTTAGGAACACATTTTAAGAAGTGCCTGTTAGAAACAATTGGGAAGAAATATCTTTTTGTTAAGGTGACTGAATCCCTAGCCCATCTGGGACTCAAATAAGAACAGTAACAAATAACATGTGTGAGGCTGGACGATAATTTCAATCACATACTTTAGGAGGTTTTGGGGTTTTATTATTTTGTTTTATCGTTTTTTTGTTTTGTTTTGTTTTGTTGAGGTTTGTAGGCTAAAAGCATGAATTCTGGAGTCACTTAACTATCTAATAGGAAACAAGCCATCTTTCTTCCTTCCCCACTGGGCTGAAATAAGAAAACCAGAGGCAGAATGCACTAAATGGCAATTTGGTATCTTACAGCTGGACAGGTGGGATGGTTTCTTTCCATCTTAATTTTCCAGCCTTCTAAGAGTCAGTGCTCAGTCTGGTATCCCACTGTTAACTGGCTTGAAAATAATCTCCATCATGTTCATCCTGGAAAAACCTGTGGTGATAAAATAAATAAATATGTAAGCAAATAGTTGTGAATTATCGCCTTGGACTTGATCCCTAGGAAAAAGAATTTGTTCTGTGGCAGATTTGAATGATAGTGAATAGTATCTTGATATTCAGAACTCCTGGGAGGGAGCATTCATGGCAAATAAAAGAAAAGATAACAGTGAATGTACAAACACGTCCAGATGAGGGATGTTCTTTCCAGCTTAACGGGGGGAGTAGGGGCAGTAAAGATGAAGAGCAGACTCACATATTTACGAATCATCAGGGGTTAGCAGGCAGAAGGACATCCATCCATCTGTCCATTTATTCATGCAATTGAAGTTTTTTAAGCATCCATAGTATTCAAAGTACTGAAGGGGACTCAGATATCAGCCAGTCCTAGATCCAATCCTGGAGAACCTTAACAGTCTAGTTAGGTGAACTATACCACGCAAACAGAGAGGAGCTAGTGAGTAGTAAGAGCGAAGAGAAGAGGTACAGATGGCTGTGAGAAGGTGGACAGAGGCCATTGCTCCCAGGTGTGGAGGATCTGAGAGAGTACCTTTATTATTCTTTGGTAAATCCTGCCAACCTTTGTCAGTGTAAGCTTTGTTAACATCAATTTCATTTTCCTTAACTTGTTGCATCTTGATGCTGGCCAAATCTGGTCGTGTTATGCTAAGCATAGACTCAATGAGAATAACGTTTGTTGAACATTTACTATATGCCAGGCATTATTCCAAGCTCATGCTTATTTAATGTTCTGATACATTAGCCCTGTTTCACAGATACAGAAATCAGAGCAAGGATAAATAACTCACCTAAAGAACATAGCTCAGTTAGTAATGAGAATTTGAATCCAGGGAGCCAAACTCTTAGTCTGCACTGCCTTCCGCTGTAGGCATTGTTCTCGGAGATTTATTTATTTATTTATTGTTTTGGGGGCACTTGTAATCTGTGAGATGTTCATCCCAGCTGCTTCAGTCATGCGGCAGGTGGCCAGGCATTCCCAGATATGGGCATTCCTACTTGTCTTGGGACAGCCATGCTAAAACTGATTGCAGCAAGTTGTTGGTGACTCCAGGGAGGCTTAGGGAAATGCATTATAGTGGTCACAACAAAATAGGCAGGTGTACTATAGACGCATAATTATTAGTGCATATTTAACGCATCAATATTAATGCATATTTGATGTATCATTAAAGCTTAACAGAATGTTAATGTCTTCATAGGTGTAACACAGAGAGTGAGTGGTACCAAATCCACGAAAACATCATCAAAAAGCTGAATGCACGTTATAATTTGACGGGCTCCAATGCAGGTGAGTATATGGGCTGGCTGACTTTTTCTACTCTATCCATTCAGGCCCTTAACTTTGTCTGTCTGAGAAGGAAATGATCAGCCCTTTGTTCTCTCTATTCACTCTCTAACTTTAAAAAAATGCCCAGTCGACATGCTGGTACATCTTCCTGTGCTATGATAATCTTGTAGCTATAACTCTATAAAAAGTAGATTCTGTTCTGGTTAGAAACAAAGCAAAGGATCTGAATTCGGTGGTACCATGTCTTGAGACCTTGAAGTTGGTGCCAAAGGATAAAAACTAATTGACAAATATGCCTGGGTTGATGACTGTTGGGTGGAAATAGGTTTGATAAGCAGCAGTCCGTCAGTAAGGTCCAGTAGAAACATGCTTCACTGCCTGTGGCTGGGTGTGAACGTGACATTATTGACAAATATACAGGTTCACACATTGAAGTTGGCTAGGAATGAGAGTGATGCGGACTGTAGTGTCATGTAGAGAAAAATGTATGCATGCTTGTTCAGGGGGGAGCTGAAATATTATATGCCACTGCAAGTTATATATAATATATGGTACAAAGTAGTATACTAGTAACATAGAATACAGAATATAGTACATTATATAGCATATTTAGATTACATAGCATATATAGCATATACATCTTTAAGTTTGGTCAATAGACAAAAACTTGGTGAATATTGTTTCTATCTGCCATTCAAACCCACAGTGAAGCAAAATGAACTATGCAGTTGTATGCTTTAATTGACATAAAGAAATTTCAAATGAGGTGAGCTGTTATTTGAGCTTAATGTGTTGTTTTTTTAAGACTGATTTTTAGAATACCTTCAACAAAGATATTTGTGTCTTAGTCCAGCTTGCCTGGCAATTAGAAGAACTGGAATTTAAATCCAGACTACCTTTTTTTCAGACTTGTGCACATCTTGCTAGGCTGAACTGACCCACAAAGAGAGAGTAACTGCAGACAGTAACTGCAGAAGCTTTGTGGGCCAGTTCAGTGAGAGCCCTGAGTACCTACAGCTCATACATATGACAACACTTCTTGCTGTAATGACAACACTTCAGGCTGTAATGAGTAGTGAGGTCAGTTTTTCTCCTCCCTCTCCCAAGAGTTGGGGAGGTAACTTGGGTTTTATTTGATGTGGATGGTCATTCACTTTGGACAAAGTCCTGCATCTAAATAAATGAGATACTTGGAGCACTTAATTATTGAGGGCAGAGTCTCTCAAGAACTCACAGGAGACAGTAGAGCAAGAATACAACATGCAACTGCTATGTATGCTTGTCTTCTCTTTTTAAAGGATTATAATTCTGATGGTATGTGGACCAAATGGTTTAATTTCAATGTTCCCTCTGTAAGATAGTAGAGCTGCTGCTTTTCTAAAAGTTATCTTGCCAAATTCATTGGTAGACTTCCAGCCAAATCTAGTAGTTCTATTCTAAACCTTTTAGTGTTTCTTGATACTGGTGACCATTATTTTATTGTTAAATACACCCTAGACATGTGCTTTCCAGGTCAGCAGGCACTGGTCACATGTGACTATTGAGCACTAGACATGAGCCTGGTACAGCACTAGAATTGAGATGTGCTGTAATCATAAAGTTAAAGTACATGCTGGATTTTGAAGACTTGGTACAATAAAAATAATGTAAAATGTCCCATTAATAATTTTTATATTGATTACATGTTGAAATGATAACATTTTAGATATAGTGGGCTAAAAAAAATATATCATTAAAAATAATTTTGTTTCTTTTTACTTTTTTAATGTTGCCACTAAGAAGGCTCATATATCATTCATGACTCACATTGTATTTCTGATCCAGCCTTCTCCAGACTCAGTTTAAAGGATAACATTTTCTTTTAAAGTCTTCTTATGCTTCACAAACAAATTCTTTATGCCTTACTTTGCTTTTTCCTTTCTGCCCATTAATGGTGGTTGGTAACCATTGCATATCTTGTTCTTTCTCCCCAAGAGTCCTATTATATTAGTTTGCTTGCATTTGCCATCTACATGAATAAAAATGTGTAAAACTAACCCTGGCCTTCTAACTTTGCCCACGTAGTCCCTGGCCCTCCCACCAACATGGAAGAGTCTCGACTAACCAGGGTGTGTTGGGCCACTGGGTACACTTCTTTGCCCACCCCTTGTCACCACCCAAGCCTTTTCCCTTCTAATATGTCTCACACAGAACAATGTTCATCTGTTGTTGGATTGTTTGACTATATCCTTGTCCAAACTCTGAGGTGATACCTGGTTGCCACTTGAATCATGGTAAAGTTCTTGGTGATAGGCTTTGCTTTATATCTCCAGATAGATTCTTGATGTAATAGATCCTGTGTCCTATAAGGCCTCTGTCAGAGGTCAGGGTTCCAGTTACATCAAATCACAAATTTCTCTCTGCTTACAGACAGGAGTCATCTATTCGAGAGTACAACATGTATCTAGGAGCTTTTCCTCTGCAAACAGGATGTCCCAGGTTTGAATGACAGTTTCACTAGGATAATAGGAATATCATCCTCTAAGGGTTATTGGGAGGATTGAAAGGGAAAAATGTATGCAAAGCACTTACCACAGGACTTGATACATAATAAGTAGGTGCATTTAATGTTACTGATTATTATTGCTTATTCACTTTAAAGCCATCGTCTGAAATATTCTACCTCGTCCTCTTAAGTCAAGTCGCCTTGCTTCATTTTTTTCCAAATAGATCCTGATTTAATCTCCTTAATGAAGACTTTCGGAATACTACAATTAGATTATTGATAGGTTGGATCATTGAACCAACCCTTCCTACACTTTGTTTTTTCCATCTCCTCTCTGCTGATTTGATTGCTAATATCTTTTTCCGGGTTCTTTTAATTTAATTGTTGTCCTTCTGGTTACATGTATTAACTCCAGGAAGGAAGAGCAGCACATTCTGTTTCCTCAGACAGTTCTCAGGTGCTTAGATGTGCTCACATGTTCCATGTGCTTTGTCAATTTTATTGACTGACTACGTATTCTCACTGGAATCCTGAATGAGACTCCCAGAAAGTGAGGGCCAAGCTTCCCTATTCCCTGAGTCTTAACTTCTCTGTTCACAGCCAGTGCACTGAAATGAAAAAACTGCCTGCTGCAACCTTGCAAAGAATGAAAGAAATCATTGTACTGTAGAGCCTCCTGCAAAGGGTTTCCTCTTCTTTTGGCAGGATCCTTTCCATTTTGCTGCCTAGTGTGAAGCTTACATTCCTAGGCAGCCAAATATATGCTGTTTACACCTGGCTTCTGCTACAAAGTCCTGTCCACTCTCCTGTCCTTATGACCTGGCACTTCTCCATCCTTCTCCCTCCAAGCCTGAGTCCCAGGCAGGCCCAAGCAGCCAGCCATCTGTCTGCCTTCTACTCCTCTGGTCTCTGCCTGATCCCTTCTAGCTCTCTAGCTGATGCTGACCCAGCCCTAAGCCTTATCACTCAAATACTGCTCCAGAGAGTGCGAGCCGGGGCAGGAGCTTTTTTTTTTTTTAATTAATTTATTTTTTTATTTCAGAATATTACAGGGGTACAAACGTTTTGATTACATAAATTGCTTTTGTACCTTTTGAGTCAAAGTTATAAGTGTGCCTATCCCCCAAATAGTGTGCATTGTACCTGTTATGTGTGAATTTGCCCATCCCTTCCTCTCCCCTCCTACCTGCTTGATTTCTGATGAATGTTAGTTCCATATGTGCCCATAAGTGTTGATTAATTAGTTCCAATTTAATGGTGAGTACATGTGGTGTTTGTTTTTCCATGCTTGTGATACTCTTAGAAGAATGGTCTCCAGTTCCATCCAGGTTAATACAAGAGGTTCACCATTTTTTTAATGGCTGAATAGTACACTACTATATATATATACTATATATATATATAAATATACGTAATAATATATACACACACACACACACACACACCACATTTTATTAATCCACTCATGTATTGATGGACCCTTGGGTTGTTTCCACATCTTTGCAATTGTGAATTGTGCTGCTATAAACATTCGAGTACAGGTGTCTTTTTTTTTAGAATGTCTTTTTCTCGTTTGTGTAAATGTCCAGTAGTGGGATTGTTGGATCATATTGTAGTTTTAGTTCTTTGAGATATCTCCATATTATTATACTATACTTTCCATGGAGGTTGTACTAGTTTCAGTCCCACCAGCAGAAATTTAAGAAAATAATAAAAAAAAAATACTTACACTCTTCCCACCAAGATTTCTACCCTTCAGTCTTGGTGGATCATCATTCTGTGTCACCTTAATCTATTTCCCTTCTGGAGGAGAAGGACTTGTGTGGCCAGAAGATAGACATTCAGGAGCATTTGGCTTCATTATTGAAGGGAAGCAATTAGTGACTTACTTAAAAGTAGTGGGAGAAGCAAGCGTACAAGAATTGAGGTAGGAAATTGGGGTGCCTAACGTTTAAACGGTCACAATGGTTAGATATGTTGACTTCCACTGTTTTCTCCTTGGACAACAGAATTGTTGATTAAATGGCAGCAGTTCAGTCAAACGTTTTCAAGCGAATTGAGTTCACTCTAAAAAGTACTGTTTTTCCCTGCTTTTCTTGGTCATTGGTCCTAAAAAAAGAAAAAAAGAATAACTTTGAAATTAGTTTTGGAACAAATTCTACCAGCTAATTTCCAGGCCCTTTATGCTTCATTGATGTCCTTCTAGCTCTTGGAGTTGTAATCTTGTCTATTTAATAGAGAAAAGGATTCATCTAGTTAACTGGGTTTTTTTCCTCTAACCTAAGACTTACACTGCAAAGGTACATTAACCACTATCTTTGTTGGATTTAGAAACTGGGAAAAAATTGCACATGATCCATTTAACTTTTAAAGATTTAAAAAAAATGAATTAATACATCTCACCAGTTAGATTTATTAGGTTGAATAATCCAAAATCTCCAAAGTTGTGCCATGTGAGAATTTTAAAATCCAAAGGCAATGTTGTGAGAATTTGCAATTCCAAAAATATTCATTT